TTTTCATGAAATGGTGTTCAGCCTTATCCTGTAATTCATCAGTGTGTTGGCCATTGACAATAATCCATGGGAACCAGGTGATTTTGGGTTTAACCGCCATCATTCGCTCAAAGCCCTGAATGTATAGTCCACGGCCTAAAGGACCCTGAGCACACTCGTTTATTTGAGCCCAATTAAGACCCAACTTTTCTGAACACTATATTTTGAAATAAAACATAAATTACCTTTTCATAAATTATAGACAAATAAACACCTGTTTCCCGGCGTTCACTTGTGTCTGATAATCAGGTGATGTAAACATACAGGACAATAGGGCCAGGGTCTTGTCTATTGGCTCCATTTCCATCACACAAGCCTATTATGGGAACAATTATTTTTTAGTAAAAAAAAGTTGCTAAAAACTTAATTAACTAAAGCAAAGTATTTGATAAACTATCATATTTTATTATGTAAGGTACTATATTTTATTCATGAGACTACCTGAATGAGAGTACCCTGGACTTCGGTCAAGTTTTTGATGGTGATATCATAGGTGCCATCAGGTTTTGTTTGATTGGTCCAGCTATAGAATGCGAACGTATTGAGCTGTATGTCCAATATTGAGCCCAACTTCTGGTACGTGGGGTACAACTGTTGGCTCACATACTTTGTACAGTCGGAGCAAAAGTATTCAAAATTTACATTAATATTGACTTTTGGGACCTCATTTGCTCTCAAAGTGTACGCTAAAGTCAATATAAGAGCGGATAATATATACATATTCATTGTTTATTCAATTATTTAAGTATTATATAATGTTTAAAGCAATTTTATATAATGTCTATATTGTTGCAACTAATTTAGACTCAATTTATAGTGAGTTAAAATAATGAATATCTATACAATAGTTTGATCGTAAGCGTGGCAATAAATTAATAGCACTTCACATTAAGTGGTGATTNAATTTATAGTGAGTTAAAATAATGAATATCTATACAATAGTTTGATCGTAAGCGTGGCAATAAATTAATAGCACTTCACATTAAGTGGTGATTTATTACAAACCACTTTGGTTATCAATTTTAATCATTAAAGCAACTGTATTGAATTCAGTGTGCAATATTATTTTCAAACTAATTTTACAATTACGATATTACATTCTGTATTGAAATACCGTATCAAATTGGTATATGTACCACTTTATTTATATTGGGTTTCGTAAATAGTTTCTAATTATATGTGAACTATAAATCTACTTGAATTTATTACTCAGTACATAGTATTATAAAAATTTAATTATCATTTAAGTACACAATAAAAATACGGATTATTTACTAAATAATATTAATAACAATTAGAATATAGACTCTATTAAAATATATTATAGAGTCTTGTAAATTCATATATTTAATTGATTTAAATTGATCAATGTCTAGAATTAAATAGATTTTTAAAAACATATATACTATTTATTAATTTATTTTTAAACTTATTATGAACAGATATACATGTATGATAAGTCTCAACAAATAATTTTTGGTTTATCTAGAGATTAACCATCAATTACTATTAATTTTATTTAATTATAATGCGTTACTCAACATTGATATACAGTATAAATTCTTGCTAAATTTATATATAAATAATATTATCTATAAATATAATTTTATAAAACAAATTACCTGTATTAACTATCTTCCAAATAATTTACGTAAATTGAGTTCTTTTGTATTATATTTGTAGTAAAATATGATTAAAATGTTTAAAATGTTATCTTACATGTTACAAGTTATACTTGTATTTGTATGTTACAAGGTACACAAATATTACAAATTGTCCTCATAAGTACACATGCTTATATGAACTATTGAAAATAAAAATCAATAACATGTCAATGAATATATTACACAGAAGTTTATTTGATCTGTTTATAAAGTATAAATATCAATACCGATAGTTTATAAGAAACTTTTGAACAGCAAAATTTTTATTTTAGTTATTATAATAAAGTTTTTTTAGTAAATTATTTTAGTATTTAGATACATATCAGTTAAAAAGCATTAAAATAGACATTTAAATATATTTAATATTTATTAGATTTCATTGAAGAATTCATTGACTTTTTTGCAGGCATCAGGTTTTGGACCCTATATTCATACAAACAAATACCAAATTAATAAAATACATACAAATATCACATGAGTGGACATACAGTATAGGTATCGCATATGAGTCCCAATAAATCAGTGTCGGCCCTTTTATTGATGGCATCCGTATGGACACCATTGACTATAATCCAGTCCACGTAATCGGGTTTAGGATTTTTAAGGGCCTGGAAAATCTCGCCACTCCTGAGGTGCAAACCCCGACCCAAGGGTCCCGAAGCGCACTCATTAATGGCCGGCCAATCAAACTTTAATTGAGTTGAGCACTAGTGACACCAAAAATGGTTAATAATTATGTATAAAAACATATATATATATTTTTGAGAGCACAGTTACCTCTTCGGCAGCGACGGCAGGTTTGCTGTAATTCTTGGAGCTATACATACAGCCAAACAACTCAAGTGACCGATCGATGGACTCCGA